GCAATGCTCAAAAGGATGCACACCTTTTTTCTGCTTAATTGCTATGTAATTAGTTTGGTTAGACTTCATCTCTGGAGTTAAGTAGACCTGGCTGGGTTTCATCTTCAACGCCACCAGTCACTAATGTAGGTGAAGATATTTAGCCTTTCTAAGTCTAGTTTCTCTTGTAAGGGGGAGATAAAAAGAAATATCTATATCACAGGGCAGTTGCTAAGGATTAAATAAGATAATGCATAGTAGCTGGCAACACAGTAATGTATGTAGGTATCGTAGTTTGATATGTGGTAGCTGCTATAATGAGAACCTACAAAGATAAGCCCATGTTATCTTTTAAGGTTTTGAAAAGGCTAACATAACTATTTCTGATGTTAAGAACGTTCATATTAGCTGGCCTTATTTTCCATTGTTGCCCAGTCTAAGGACTGTGCACAAAGTTCTCGAGAGCTCTCTGTGGCCCACATTAGACTGCTCCTGTTCTGGTGCCTTGCTGGTTCTCCAGCCTACCACACTGCTACAGGACAGGTTAGAAACCACTGCTGTTGTGACTAGAGTCACAAGCACTAGTCATGATGACAGAACCTAATCATCTCCACCATAGTCACAGCTGTGTGATTATGTGTGTATTGTTTTGATTTTGCAGAGAAGGAGCACTCATTCCTGAGAAAAGTGCTGTTGGAGGATGAGGTCTTGGCCGCCATGGTGTCTGTCATTAGCACTGCCACCACCCACTTAAGTTCTGAGTGAGTATCGTGGATATGGTTTCATCTTGGAGAGGATAGCAATCTTGGAAGCAGCAGCAGGTAGCTGCCTTCTGAGCTGTCCTTTTACCCAGAATCAAATGTAGAGGCAGCTACTTGTAAGTTTTGCTGGCAAAGTAAGTAAAAGGGGGTTTTAGCACAGTGGACTGTATGGTTGGATGAGCCATGGATTGATGTGCATAAGTCACCTGTGGAGCATTTTAAAAATATTCATTGAGTTCTCTCACTAGATTGTGAGTTCCAAAACAAGGGTTTGATCTGTCTGGCTTGCTGCTTTATCACCAGGGCCTAGAATGGGACTAGTCCTGGCATACAATATGTGCCAAATTAATAAGTGTTGAATGTGTGGATGATTATGCTCTGACCCATTGACTCAGTGAATCTAATGGGAACCCCAGGGCTGCTTTACAACCCTGGCTCCTTGGTGATACCTAGTGCTCTACCCCTAGCTTAGCTGCCCAGAGTGTCGCCCACATTGTGCCCCTCTTCTTGGATGGCAACATCTCCTTTCTGCCTGAAAACAGCTTCCCTTGCAGATTCCAGCCATTCCAGGTGAGGGTCTGATGGATCAGATTGGGTAGAATCCTGGGATTCCTGTCCTTCAAATTTCTAGGGCTAATTGGGGAAGGTTATCGGAGCAGATAAGCCTATTGCTGGTATGATAGGCTTGATAATGCTCTTCTTCCTTTATAGGATGGCTCCTCAGGACAGAGGCGGCTGGTTGCACTGCTTATGGCCTTTGTCTGCTCCCTGCCTCGAAATGTAAGTGAACACATTTGGAGAGTACCCTGGTTTAACCCTGACAAGGGGCAGTGGATCCCAGGTGACTGGGCTGAAATTTGTCACAGACTAAGTTGATCTACTTTCCCCATTGGAGAATATGGTTCTCATCCATCCTGGTCCCTGCTGCCATTTTCTACTGGGTATCCCTTTGGATTCAAGTGTTCTCTGGGTCCATTACGTGACCATGTTTTCTGTAGGTGGAAATCCCTCAGCTGAACCAACTCATGCGGGAGCTTTTAGAGCTGAGCTGCTGCCCAGGCTGCCCCTTCTCCTCCACCGCCTCTGCCAAGTGCTTTGCAGGACTCCTCAATAAGCACCCTGCAGGTACTGGAAGTCTGCCTGATGAAATCTTCAAGTTCAGTCCTCATTGTTTTAAAAGGGAGCTTGCTAATAATACATAAATAGGGTTTTCCAGGGGACAGCCCTTGGGACAAGAGTCAAGACTGGAGCTGGGTAAAGCATTGCAGGACATAAGATGATAAGGGGGTACAAGCAAAGTGCCATGTCTACTTCTGTCATCCTGTTCCCTGCAGGAAGCTGTTAGGGGTCATTCTTTCTTAGAAGTAGACAACTCTTTTCAAATGCCAGCACCCCTGCACTGAGGATGCCAGGCTCTTGTGCTTGTGTCTCAGAGTTGAGTGGGCAAAGCCCATAGACAAATGATGCTGTTCTTTTCTAATGGCTCTTCAGGGAGCTCTGCATTGAAATGATTTATATCCTTGTTAAAAAAGAAATATGTAGCCTTCTCATCAGCACTTCCTCCCTCCTGTTTAGGGCAACAGCTGGATGAATTTCTACAGCTGGCTGTGGACAAAGTGGAGGCTGGCCTGGCCCCTGGGCCCTGTCGTAGGCAGGCCTTCACACTGCTTCTCTGGGTAAGAAGTCGGAATGGATTCTGGTTAAACAGAGGCAATTATGTCTGTTTAGTTTCTCCGCTCGACCTGGAACCATAAGCATTCTTCTCAGGGTTCTGGGGTTTGAGTGTCATTCCCTAACCGTTCTCTTCTCTGATTACAGGTAACAAAGGCCCTAGTGCTCAGATATCATCCTCTCAGCTCCTGCCTTACAGACCGGGTAAGTCCATTCTGGAGACAAGGGAATCTAGGACGTAAACAAGAACTTCCTGTTGATCCTATTCCTCCTAGAAATGACTGCCATCCTACTCTTGGGTATTTAAGATTCCTCTCCCGATATACCTCAAAGGCTCTCTTTTCTCCAGCTTATGGGCCTCCTGAGTGATCCAGAACTTGGCCCAACAGCCGCTGATGGCTTCTCTCTCCTCATGTCGGACTGCACTGACGTACTGACTCGTGCTGGCCACGCTGAAGTGCGGATCATGTTCCGCCAGCGGTTCTTCACAGATAATGTGCCTGCTTTGGTCCAGGGCTTCCATGCTGCTCCTCAAGGTGAGGAGAGTCTGAAAGAAAGGCCCCAGATTTATAGATTTCTCCTTTGCTCAGGTTTAGGACCTCATCAGTGCTGCTTCAGAGCAGTAGTGTAGTCTCTACCTACAGGAATCAACTTCCAGATTCCTGCTGCGCTCTATTCCTCTGGTTCAGATTGGGGCTGAATTCTCAAGCTCTTACGTCTAAAGCCCAGTTTCTCCCCTAAGCTTTTTCATTTTTTACAGATGTGAAGCCAAATTACCTGAAAGGCCTGTCTCATGTACTTAACAGGCTGCCTAAGCCTGTGCTTTTGCCAGAGCTGCCCACGGTAAGCCTTGCCGTCAGAGCCTCTAAGCAAGGGACCAAGCCATTGTCCCCCAGCTGAGCTAAGGAGGGGAGGGGAGGCAGACTCATCATGCACATGGTCATCCTGCCTTCCCTGTGGCCCCTTAGCTGCTTTCCCTGCTGCTGGAGGCCCTATCCTGTCCGGATTGTGTGGTACAGCTCTCCACCCTCAGCTGCCTTCGGCCTCTTCTACTAGAAGCACCCCAAGTCATGAGCCTTCATGTTGACACCCTTGTTACCAAGTTCCTGAACCTCAGCTCTAGCCCTTCCATGGTATGTTGAGACCCAGCAACTTTTTTTCAGTTTTTAAAAAATTGATTGATTTTGAGAGAGAAAGGGGAAAAGAAACATCAGTTTGTTTTTCCACTTAGTTATGCATACATTGGTTGACTCTTGTATTTGCCCTGACCTGGGATCAAATCTGGAACCTTGGCATATCAGGACAACACTGTAACTGAGCTACCGGGCCAGGGCAAGCCCCAGCAACCTTTTGGCATCCACAGCTCTCCTTCTTGGGTCTCCCCTCACCTCCTTATGGTTGTGTTTCAGGCTGTCCGGATTGCTGCACTACAGTGCATGCATGCGCTCACTCGCCTGCCCACCCCTGTGGTAAGTACCTCACTTGTCTTTCTCTGGCCCAGAAATTTCTGAGCCAGAGAAGTACTTTTGCCTGAGTAAAGCATGACTGGCCACCCTGCTGTGTGATTGAGGTATGAACTGCAAGGTAGAGATAGGCAAGGATCTGCCTGAATACATTACAATAGAATGGTTATCTGCCACCTAGCATCCTCTGGAATCACTAAAGAATAGGAAGACTATTAGTTGTAGAGTCAGAGAAGGGGCTCTTTTGGTTGTGTTGGTGGAAGAAGGCTAGGATTAACCCCTTTTTACTCCACAGCTGCTGCCATACAAACCACAGGTGATCCGGGCTTTAGCCAAACCTCTGGATGACAAGAAGAGACTGGTGCGCAAGGAAGCAGTGTCAGCCAGGGGAGAATGGTGAGTTGCTACCTCTTGGGGAGAGAGGGCTGAAATGAGCCTCACCACTAATGCTGCCAACATTATTTTTGCCTACAGGTTTCTGCTGGGAAGCCCTGGAAGCTGAGCCCTCAGTCCTGGCCTAGACTCTTCTGACAATCTAACCTGGAGTTACTAACTATTGAGCCATCTTCCAAGGCAGGGAGACCACTGGCCTCTGATTGCCTTTCCCACACACACACGGCATAAATGCTGGGCCTCTGTTGCACAGCTGTACAAGAAACAGGAATCCTGATTTCTAATGGACTTGTGAAGTAACTGAGTGTGAGACTACTTGCGTTTGAAGAAGGATCTTAAGGCTCTTCCATATTTGTATGTCAGAAAAAGAGATGCTGCTGAGGGATGAATGTGTATAAGCGTGGCCCTGAGGACCAGGGACGGTGCCTGTATGTATATCTGCTGGAGAATAAAGATTTCTTTTGATAATGGGGCTGTCAGATATTCTCTCCCCCACCCCTGCCCCCACTTATGCCTCAGCAGCACATGACCAGAGGTGTCACTGTAAAAGCTAAAACAACAATAATGACAGGCATTAGTCAAAAATTCTTCAGGGCATCCACCTCTTCAAGTAGGGCACAGTTAGTATGAGCAGAACACCTACACAGTGGCCTTGACCCTGACTTTCCCCTTCCCTGCCCGAAAGTAGTGGCAAAGAATAAGAAGCTACAGGTATTTAAAAATCAAATACCTTTATTTTTGCTCCCTTCAGCATGTGAGAAGTGGCAGTGACCTCAGCAGCAGGCCTGGTACCTTTGCCCTGTTGAGAAGCTAGGATCTCAGTTCAACCATTCAGGTATTTTCTTAGACAGCAAGTGGGAGAGGTGGTGGCCAACTCCAGTGCTGTAATCTGGAGGTTGGGGTCAGCACCTGGCAAGGTTGCTAGCTGCCTAATCTCCAGTCTGCGGCTGGAACTTTTTTGCCTGAGTGAAGGAACATCAGTCCTAGGATTTCTCCACATCATGCCTTGCTGCTGCAGTGGCCTGGAGATAGGCCCTTGAGTTGTCCCTGCATAGTACCCTAAGGCAGGCCCACTGGCTCTTTTTGCTCAAGGGTTCCAAGAAGCCACCCTTGGAGGCCTTGAGATAATGGAGAAAGCAGGGCGATGCTCAAGTTGTGGCTGACAGAATCCAGCTCACACTGCCATCACAGAGGCTGACTGAGCAGTCACCCAGGGAGGGGGGTCCCAGTTTATTCCATTCCCATGGGGCAGGTGACTGGAAGGTAACAGCACCCGAGTGAGCCAGTGCCTATAAGAGAAGATACAAATGTGTCTGAGTTACAAGAGTTCTTGGGCTTCCTGATCCTCATTCCTCAGTAAGGCTACATAAGCTTACCCTGAAGCTACCTGGCATGAACCTCAAAAGAACAAAACTCCTAATTTTATCCAATAAATGTGTCTGGTGTCGTGAAGGCCTTTAGAGGTTTTCAGCTAAACTTCTAAGGGGCCTCAGCATGCACAGTGACAGCCAGGAATATAATAGGGATGGGAAAGGGAGGCAGGCAGGTACTTATGGCCGCCTTACTACTGCCTCAGTCGTTGCAATTTGAAAAATGATTTTCCCATGTCTCTTGGGTGAAAGGAGCTAGCTTCATTTATTGTCTTAGGACTTCCATCACAAAGCTTACTTCAATCCCAGAAATCACTGGCTTGACCTCCAGACACTGCCATACAAATGAGAGGTGATTGGTGGCCACCTACTCTACCTAAAAGTCCCTTCTTGAAAAGAGCTTTCTTGGAATTTTACTGTGTCATCTGTAAGCCTCATCTGCTACTTAAACCACACAGTGTCGGCCCAAAGCTCTGTTCGCTCAAATTAACAATGATCTCTACTCCCAGAATCTAGATCTGTGCTGTCCAATATGGTAGTCACTAGCCACATGTGCCTTTTTAAATTAGTGAAAATAAAAATTAAATTAAAAATTCAATTCCTCAGTGTATTAGCCACATTTCAGGTGCTTAGTAGCCACATGTGGCTGGCTGGTTGCTAACATCTTAGCACAGGTAGAAAACACCTTTCTTGTCAGAGTTCTACTGGACAGCACTGTTCTAGTTATTTTACCTTCCTGTGTCCACACCCAGGAATAACTTCCAGTTGTCCAAGCAGCCATAGTTGTAATGATTCCTAAAAACCTAGGACCAAAGAAAAACATGTTTCTACAAACCCCTGTTACTTAATCCCCTTGTAATTTTCTACCCTAAACTGGCCAAGCCAAAGCTCAACAAGGCAAGTTCAGGCCTTTTACGATGCCTGCCCTAGTTGGCCCTGACCATGACCTGTTTACAGGATGGCGGGTTCAGTCACCCACCCAGCGATCCACCCCCAGCCCTCAGCCCTACTCACTCTGCCCTTGGCCTGCAGCCGGCGTCTCTCCTTCTTGTTGATGTGCCTTTCGATACTAGTCTCACCTCGACTGATGAGAACAGCATGCCATACAGTTAGGGCACCCAGGGCAAGTGCCACAGAACTAAGAAAAGTGGCAGAGATTGGTGAGTAGCTTAGAAAGGGTTAGAGGCTATGTGTGAAATTAAGCTGGGCAATAATGATGAGCTGGGGACCTCTCTGTCTTTCCTCATCTCCCAGCCTACACATGCCAGGTGAACTTTCACTTCACTATGCTTATGAAAAGCATCAATGAAAATGCTTCAAGATGGGCTAAGAATAAGTTATGTGGAAAGGAGGGGGAATAAGTCTGTTACTAGTAAAAATATTCTGTATTTCTTACCCATGCTTGGGAGACTACAGAGGGTAGTACAAGCCCCAGGGACTGGAATGGAATGGCACCAAGTTCAGACTCCAGCTCTACTATTCATTGTTAACTGTGTTGTAGAACAAATCACTTCACCCTCTAATTTTCAGTTTTCCTCATCTATAAAATGTAGTCACCTACCATTTAGGTAGGATTTTAACTTACCTTGGCATGTAACACACACTCAATGCCAATATCCCTACTGTTCCCTGCACCAGAATGCTGAAGAAAATTAAATGCTGACTCTTTGTCAACCTAAGTTAGACTCAGAAGAGCAGCAGTTCACACAGGGATGGGTCTCTGTGGGTACCTAAAAAGGTTTTTCTGAAGCTTCCCCTCCCTTAAGCGGTCAAAAGTGAGAGAGTCGGATACCTGCACAGGAACCAGAGGTAGACAAGACTCTTGTGAGTCACCCTTTCTCGAAAGGAGAAGGTGGGTGGTGGGGTCTGGTGATAAGTCTAGAAAAAGAAAACAGCGAAGTCTAGCTTGTTTGCTGTGCCGGTCCCTAGCAGAGCCCCCATCGCCCTCAGGCAGGGAAGTGATCCAAGCCCAGGATGGAAAAATAGGGGGTTAAGCCACAGAGGAGTCAGGGTAGCAGCCAGATGGGTGGACTGAGCCCGGCAGCATCATGTAGACAAACACTGGGCAGAGCGGGTCTAGACAGGATGGCAAAGCACAGGAAGAGCCGACCCTGGACCTTTAGATCTGACAACACAAATGGGGCTCCAGGGGAAGCCACTCCACTCCCCAGCTAGCACTCCTTCACCCTGTGGCTGCAATCCCCAAGAGAGGGGACCAGACCCACACTAGAATGGAATGACTGCGGGGGAAGAACTGTGAGCTCCACTAAGGACCGAAAGGGCAGCAGAGGTACGTACAATCATTAGTCTAAGATCTACTCAGACTGAGTAGTCCTAAAAAGCCTGGGGAGAAGGGTTGCTCCAGATGCAGATGCAGACAGACCAGGGGCGAAGGGCAATCAGACTAGCCCAGTCTGATCTCTGTCCCCTGGAGCCCCAGTACACAGACTAACATAGACTCCTTGCTGCTCAGGCCGTCACCAAGGCAGAGTCCTTGCTCAGCCAAAAGAAGGTGGAAATGGGATAGAGAGCCAAGAACTGTCACATACCAGGGACTTGCCCCAGGCCGCTTAGTCTGCCCATGGCAGACAGCCTCCCAGAACACCCCTGATCCAGCCTCCAGCGGCCAGCCCCTCAACCAGTCTCTACAACTCTACCAGGTGGGCCTGTTGCCTCAGCAACTCTATACCCGCTGGCCTGAGCAGCAGGAGGCAGTGGGGTGGGGACGGCCCACCTGGTTGGCAACCGCCTGTAGTTTGTTCTTGTCGAGCTGTTTCATTTTCTAAGGGGATGGAAAACAGTGCTGGTTATACTCTCAGGCCTCTAGCATTAAAGTGCTACCAGTCCCACTCCTTAGGGACAGATTCTATACCCCAAGTGCTCTCTACTGAGCTGCCCTGCTCCTAACTATGGGCTCACCTCGATGGCAGCATAAGCCTCCCGGAAAAGGTCCCAACTTCCGTAGCTGCAGTAGACACAGCCCAGAGTCATGAAAAAGCAGAAAGAGAAGAAGTACCGATGGTTATAGTGGCCCACACAGTTGTTTAGCCAGGCTGGTGGGAGAAGAATTAAGGACAAGAGCAAACACACAACTTCAGGGTGTGTCCGGGCCTCTCTGGTTCATTCTTGCTTCATGACAATATCATCCAAGCCCAGGACTTCCAGTCACCAAGAACTATTTTCCAAAGGCAGGAAAATATGGGGCTTTCCAGAGGTTGAAGTAAAAGTGTTAAAGCTTTTCAGAGCCCTCACAAGTCCCTCCAGGAAATCATGAAAATTGAAACCCTTCACTAAAAGCAATCTGCCAATATATCAACCTAGCTGGGGTCAACCAGACATCTGTATGGGCCAAGGGAACCAACGGTTCTACCTGGATACCGAGTAGGCAACCACCTGAAGCCCAAACATCTCTTTCCATCCAACAGCTGTTACCATGACAGTGTACAAAAGAAAGAGCTGTTGGAGAAGATGCCTTACTCCAAGGAGATCTGTTCCAAAGATCTGTAAGCTTCCCGCTTTCCCCAGGAGAGGGTCAGCCCCCCGCAGCAACTCTTCCACTAACTTCTCATGAGCCCAATGTTCTCTGCAGGATGATGCTAGAAGCCTCAGGTTTGCAGCCCTTGACCCTGTGCAGTGCTCTGAAGCTACAGAAGGAGGCCTCAGGCAGAAGAGATAGTAAAAGGATACGACAATGATGATCCATCTTCAGCACACACCTGTGAGGGAGGGACACAGGCTCTGTTACGGTGGCCAAATTCTTGAGATGTCAGTGCCAATCCTTTCCTACAAGGACCAGCATCCTGCTGAGGTGGAAAAGGCACAGACTTTGAAGACAGCCAGGCCTTGCTTCAAACCCTGCTTCATTGGCTACATGACACTGAATAAGTCAACTCATTTCTCTGAACCTCAGTTTCTACAAGTAGTCATAATGCCTAACTCACAGGATCATCCTGAGGACCAGGTGTCATGATAGAGAGGGCATATTGCCTGACATGTGATGTGTGCTTCATAAACACTTTTTCGAACTCCAGGTCTAGGTTCTGCCCTAGGGCTACAGCCAGCGGGCCAGAGCTAGGGTTCACAGAGAACAAAGCCAAGACCCACCTATTGCAGACGCTGCAGTGGTGTGTCCGGGCTGGCTTGGGGTAGATGCACTTCTTACAGATGGAGACTGTTGCAATATCATTCCTGCCCTGTGCAAAGAGAGAAAAGCATCATGACAACTGTGGCAGCACCAGTTTCATACCTCAAAAGATACCAAGGCACTCTCTCCCCACTCCTGCGACTGGCTCCCCTGGCCAGCAGCCCTCTGCCTGCCCCCACCCGCTGTGGAGACCCACCTGGGGTGGATATCCAGGTGGAGTGGTGATGGCCTGGTAGTAATGGAAGACGATGAGGATCAGATTCCAGTGACTATAGAAGAAATGCCAGCAGAGTCGTGGCACTGAGTAGGTTCGGAGGATGAGGGGTAGGACACAAAGGTAGGCAATGGCCACGATAGAGCTGGTCAACACGATCACCAGCACCACGAACACCTGCCAACACCAATGAGGTTAGGTAGATGCACTGAGAGAGCTTGCCAATGCCCGGAGTAACTCGGGAATATCCCCAGGGTAGGGCTGGCATGGATCCGTCAGACACATGTCCCGCTGCTACGCCAAAACATCCCTCTTCCTGCTCCCTGGGCATCACTCACCACCCCACACCAGCGGATCACGTTGTCCACCAACCAGTAGATAGGCTCAAAGGCAGCATCGACAGCGGTGTCACTGCCCCCGAAGGAGTTGTAGAGCAGGGAGCGCAGGCAGACCTTTCCGTAGCGCCAGCGCTGTACCAGCCCCCGGAGCAGGGGAGGGCAGCGGCGCCTGGAGCCCAGGAGCAGAAGCAGGCGCAGGCAGAGGCGGGCCGGGCCCAGCAGCAGGCTCCACTGGCCCCGCATTGCTCCTAGGAGAGCACACCACTGTGAGGGACCAGCCGGGGCTCTGTCCCTCCCTAGCCCACCAGTGGGAAGGGGATGAGCACCGGCTTAGAAGTAAAGACTTAAGACCGACGCCAACGGGGCCAGTTAACAACTGTGGACAGTAAGAGAGTCATTTCAATTCTCTACAGAATGTGGGGGGCCAGTGTCCCAACCAGACTGTAGGGGCTAGGGTCTGCAGGTTCTAACTGGGCAGAAATCCTATTACACCACATGGTTACAGAGCAAATCCAAGATGATGCACACCTAGAGTACAGGGCCACGGTAAACCGGTGAAGGAGAGACAGGGGGCTCCCAGACAAGGCAAGGTCACTGGAGTTGTCTGTGTAGACAGACCACTGGGTGCAGCATGGCCAATGTTCACAAAACTGCCCACTCTGTGTCTGTGCGCATGGCCACTGTGGCAGAGGGTTCCCCAAGTCCTTGCTTGCCCTGGACCATTGACCTACGTCCTAACAGTTGCTCTTAATCAAGGAAAAGCCAGTGGTGGGGGAGTGCATAGCATGTGGACCCTGCACCTGGATCTTCCCTGGTGCCATCTGAGTCTTTGCAAAAGATATTTATCCTTCTTACTCCCTCTGGGCTGATGTTACAGGCCACCAGACCTAACCTGGTAGCACAAGAGTCCCTGTCTCCTGTCAGGACAGCTCAGCTACCCCTTGCATGACATAAGATGCTTTGTCTCCAATTCCAGTTCCAGCCCCAGTCGAAGGACACAGAAGCCAAGACAACTTCGGGTATTCAGAGAATAATACCACAGGCAGGAAGACAGGGGGCGGGGCACTGCCACACTGGTGACTCATGAAGACCAGAAGGACTGCTCTTCCTCTGAATTTCCCCGGCCTGTTCTAGTTGAACACTTAAGAGCCTTTTCTGCCGCTGCTGCCCGTGGCCCTAAGCTTCCCAATCAGCCTTCCCAGCTCTTTAGTCCTTTTCAGGGCTCTTCTGCAAGTGCGTTCATCTCCTTTACGTGGTTTCCACCTCATCCAACAGCCATGGAAGCTCAGCTGCCCAGGCAATGCCCAGAAGACACGGGTTCCTTTGACAAAAGTCTCATCAATTCTACAGATTAAAGTCCTTACCAGAAAAGAAATTATCTGATTTTTCCCCTAGAGCTACTTTGTTCTCAGCAACTCCACTGACTTATTTAACAGGCATCTCAAAACCTAGCAGAAACTGGAGGAGGCTGCTCCACTGTAGAGATGGTTTCCGTTCAGTAACTAGAGCAAGGTACTCTCCTTGCATCCTGGCTCATCACTACAAAAAGCCTTTCAAAGCAAACACTTAATTACCTCCTTCCACAAGCCCTATGACCTAAGCGAAAAAGAAATCCAGCAGACAAGGCCGGCAGAGAAAGAGAAGAAAGACAATTCAGAAGGGACCTATTCTTTGCACCCAGATAAAGAAATGGCCATTCCCATGCCACCCCCTGGGAGCTAGCAAATTAAGAGGCAGTGTAGAAGAGAGCAAAGGAAAAGCTCAAACTTCCTACCTCCTTTGAGTTGGACTCCCATAGTTTGGAACCATGATTTCGCTTAAAGCATCAATTTTCAAAATAGTATATATAGCCACCACAATCATATGTAAGAGTGGGACAAAGCATTTTACTACACAAGGAGTCCAGGAGACAGATTGCCCACACTACTGTTTATTCCCTTACTGTGGCTAATGGAGAGTTTCCTATTTGCTAAAACACAATAGCAATAGCTTACAAATAAAATGCATTTCTCATCTTTATTAACGTGAATTATATGCCATCTCTCCTGTCTACAAAACAACTTCCTTATCAGATTCTCCACTTTTTGGCTTGTTCTCAACCACCACCCAAATTCTTGAGCTCTACAGGAAATGCCTGCTCAAGGACTAGATTTACCAACACTAATCTGCCTCATAATTTGACCACGCAGGGTTCAATTCTGCCCTTAAGTGGTTCTGTGACCTTGGGCAAATCACTGAATCCTCCTGAACTCAATTTTCTTGTGTTCCCATTCGATGAGGAGGTAGAAGTAAATGCCAAGGTCTCTTCTAGCTCTAACCCTTTATGATTCCACAGATACACTTGGAAAGGTATAAATGAAATGTTTATAAAGTTCTTAGCACAATACCTGGCTCATGGAAGTGCTCAATAAATACTTGTTGAATGAATGACCTGGGATGCAGAAGTGGAGAGGCTGGTCAGCTGTCTATCTGTCCTACAAATAACAGCAAGGGCATTCCTGCCAATGTTATAACACTAAGTAAGTGTCTGCTGCTATAAATTGTTGTTAAACATTGTTAAAATCATAGCATTTAAAAGTTAGAAGGCATTTTAGGAAAAAAATCAACCAGAAATCAACCCAAATATGTAAATAGAAAGCTTGTAGATATAGAGAGTAACAAATCAGATTTGAGTGAACAAAGTCTGAAGCTGAGCCCCCACTCATTTTATCTAATGGGGTTTGAGAACTATGGGGAGGCCAGGGAAGAGCAACTGAACATATAGAGTTTTCATCTCAGGAAATTGAGGTAAAGCACAACTCAAAAAACTGTATTGGGCAGGAGGGTGAGGTCGGGGGCAGGGGTCAGAGTGAAGAGGGGAAGAAACAGAGCAAAGCGTAACTTCACTATCACCCCAAGCACAAGCCCTGAACACTTCAATCCCTCAATAGTGGCCACAAGCCATAGTGACATCTGCTCCCGAGATTAGAAGGGATTGCAGGCCGTGGCACTCGCCTCTTCCTAAGGCTCTAAGTCAGCATCTGATTCCCTAAGGGAAACTGGATTGGGGGTGAGGAAAGATGGATTTCAAATCCACCAGAGGGCAGAGGAAACGGTGATGAAAGTCTTGGCAAATTTCACCCGGACAAAGATCCTGCTTTCAAATGTTCGCACTCTCAAGCAGCAGGTGTCAATCATCAGTTAAGACCAGCATTTTATTCATGAGCAGTCTTCCCTTCCAGACAAATACGATGGGAAGAGACAAAGTTACAGATGGCCTCACTCTACTCTTGAGACGGTCCCCCTGTGAGATCGAGATCGGAAGTTAAAGTTACAAAAACCGGGAAAAGGCTTTATTAGGGTGCCATGGTCAACGTGCGATGGATTGGAAGTCAAAATACTTGGGTTTCGGTTTGGGCTCTACCTTAAACTATCTTCGAGACACTGGGCAATTCAAAATCCTATCTCCGGATCTGAGCTTGCAAATCTGTGAAATGGGCGAGGATGGGTCGGTTGGCCTCCTTCCAGCTTCGCGCGTTACGACTGCCCGGAAGGTGCACTCCGCCTGGCTAGAGGACAGGACGGACGTGCAGGGATCGGCGAGGAGACAGCAGGAAGCCGGGCTCACCGTAAGGCCCCGCAACAGGGCCCGACCCTAGAAAAAGAGACAGAACTGAGGAGCAAAGGCCGCGGCTTCGCTCTTACCTGCCTCCTGCCGACTCCCCAATCAGCCAAATGGAGCCTGCAACCTCCGCTCACTGCCACCCAGTCCAGCTGAGCGCCCCAGGCCGGCGCAGCTCAATCCAACCAACCATGGCCCGCCGCCCACAGAGCCAGCCTGCAGACCCGGACCCGCCGCCAACCCATCCTCAACCGCACGCGCAAGCGCATCTACAGGCTTTCAGGAGCTCCGCCCCTGGATTCGCCCCGGGGCAACCTGGGACATGTAGTTTACCTTCTCAGAAAGGCGCGGCCGGAGGTCACGTGGTAAATGTACCAATCGGCACATTTTTTATTGAGAAACTGCACCTGGACTTTGGCCAATGAGAAGTCCGCTTCGTTTTCCTCCGGTTTGGGAGAGTGGCAGTCATGGCGCCACCCGTGAGGTATTGCATCCCAGGTGAGTGAGTGATGTCCACAGCGCGTCCTGGAGAGGGACAGAGGAAGGAACGCTCGATGGCCAACAGCCTCTGGGCACCCATGGCTGATGCAGCTTTTTTTCCTGCAGGCGAACGTTTGTGTAACTTGGAGGAGGGTAGCCCAGGCAGCGGCACCTACACCCGGCACGGCTACATCTTTTCTTCGCTTGCTGGCTGCGTGACGAAGAGCAGCGAGAACGGCGCGGTAAAGGGGGCGGCCTCCATCGCCTATGTTTCTGCCTGGCTGTTAGGCTACCTTTGATTTCGCGGTCTTTAGGCAAGGACAGTGTTAGGCAAGTCTTTAGTGCCTCGTCTGGAAGACTTGGTCTTTGAGTGTCTTTCAGCTGTGGTCCCTGCTGCTGGGCGTTTAGTCAGTACAGGCCAGTTGTGTTGCTGACACTCAGGGACGGATGGTGGGGAAAGAGCAGAGGCGAGCTCTGAATCCTGTCCGAATGCCGCTTACCTCTCTGGCTTCATCCGCATCCCCACCTCTGGTCATGCAGGCTTCTTTCAGCGTCGCCAGTGCGCTAAGCTCTCTCCTGCCCCAGGGCCTTTATACGCACGCTATCTATTAGAACACGTCTTCCCCTCAGCCCATTAATTCCTGCCTATCCTTCAGCTAACCGTAGTATCACTTTCGCAGAGAAGCCCTCCTCGACCCACACTAGTCGGGGAAAGGAGGTTCTGTTTCTGTTTGTTGTTTGTGTTCCTTTCCTTCCAAACACTTAACCCCAGCATATAATTAAACGTTCAGTTATGTGTTTTCCACTAAATTCTTCCCCTCATAGACTTCTAAGGTTCAGATAGCAGGCCTTACCACCAAACCTTCATTGCCTAGCACAAGGTAAACGCTCAATAAACATGTGTTGAGTGCTCAAGTAATACTTAGTTCCAGAGCCTAACACAGCATTAACTGAGGATCAAATAAGCAGGCTTTGAAGGAGCAGCTTAAAGACAGGTAGCATAGCAGAAAGAGAATTCAGAATTAGAACATTTAGGTACTGGTTAACTAGACCTTAATTCTGCTCTAAGTAAGAAACAAGCTCTCTGGCTTTAGGTTCTTCCTCATCTACGAAATGAGAGGCTTTCTATTCAGTTTGGGAACACTCTTCACATTCATAAGTTAGTTCATTTCATAGATATCTGTTGAGCGTGTTCCTATGCCAGGCTCAGTGCTGACCTCTAGGGATATGGGAGTGAGCCAAATGCATGTGGTCTCTGCTCTCAAGGAACACAGACACAAGTTGTACATAAATAAATGCTCATTGAATGTATGGTTACAAATGCAATGAGTACTTTAAAAGAATACCACAGGGTACCATGAGAACATGTCATAGGTAAACCCACTGTAGGCCGCAGAAGTGACATTTAACTAATCTGAAGAATAAATAAAGAGAGCTCAGTCCTGGAGAAAAGAGCAGATTGTACAGAGCTAAGACAGGAAGAAATTTAGTGAGCTGGTGAAACTGAAAGAAGACCAGGAGAGCCAAAGCATAGTGAACAAGGGAGAGATTAATAAAAGATGAGGTTCAAAAATACTGTGGGGTTTTTTTTTAAATTCTATCTTATATCAAGAGCCAATACCGTGCTCAAAGAGAAAACTTTATTCCTCTTCACCAGAAGTAAACAAGTATGGGCACTGTTACGTAACTTTTATTTGAATATTCTAGCCTGTACAACAGCATGAGAAATAGAAAGAAGCAGTATTAATTTCGGAGGAAAGAGTCAAATGACCCACGATTATAGACAAGAAATTGTATAGCAAGAAATTCCAAGACAATCACACACAAGAAAAACTTGTTAAAACTAATCTGAAATGGTTAGATTACGTCTTCTAGCAGCATTTCCTAAAATTTCAAAGGCTTTATGCTCTGGGCTACAAACAAATCTGTAGTCTGCTTGCCTTCGTGGCCTCAGCTGTGGACCAAGGCATTCCTATATTACACTCAAGCCACAAATAACTTTACCCAAGACTTAGCCAGTGTACTCACATTTTATTGTTTTCTTTTTCAGCTTCCTGTAGTGTCTGTGATGAGAGAAACAGAGTCCCAGTTACTGCCAGATGTGGGAGCTATTGTAACCTGTAAGGTAAGTTGGTCCTAACCTCCCTATTTAGGCTACCCTCATCCAGTGCTGAAATCCACGGTCATTGTAGAACTACACTGTTCAGTATTGTAGCCTCTAGTCACATATGGCCATTTAAATTTACGTAAATTAAAATTTAAAATTTATTTATCAATTCCACTAGCCATATTTCAAATGCTTAACGGCCACATGTGGTTAGTAGTTGCCATATTGGTTCATCACAGAAAGTTTCACTGGAATTTTCTGGTCTACAGATTTCTAGGATAACGATCAAGGCAGCCAAATTTCAGGTTTGCGTAGTTCTTTCACAGTACAGTATGTAGTTCTACTTGTTTTAGGAAACAGGGGCTCCAAAGGGTGCTAAGGAGGCCTGTCTTTGAATATCTGAAGGGAAGCCTTTCTCTACAGAGATGCAAAAAATACTGTAGCATTCCTGTTAAATGTGGTCTTTTAGGGTGTTTCATGGGAAGTACTAATTGATACTGTACTGATCAGTAGCTTTAACATATCATCCCATCCTCTGCCAGGTTACATTAACGTGGAGCTCTAGTTTCTCTCTTTATAAGTTGCTCCAGCAGAAAAATCTATATGTAACTCTGAAAATAACTGGAGAGGCAGTGATCCAAGATGTTATGCAGCAGCTAAAGTGTAGATTTAAATTCCCTCCACCATGTAGGCTTCTTAGTAAGTTCTGTTAAAGGGCTAGATTTACTAGAATGCCCTGTGTCTATTTGTGTTAGACATCTGTATTTTGTAAAATCTGTATTGTGCTATTTCATTTAATTCCTAAAGTAACTCTGTTGTCTAGACTGGCTCTAAATTCCACTCTACATGTATCATGTATGCAGGAGTAAGTAAGAGTTAACTTGTCTTAAATTCTATACTTAGTGGGGTTGCTTGAACTAAAATCCTGGCAGTGCCTAGTTTATTGCTGCCTCCTTGAACTGACAACCGCTAATACTCTAATGCTGATCTTTTCATTATTCTGTAGGTCTCTAGCATCAACTCACGCTTTGCCAAAGTACACATTCTGTATGTGGGGTCCACACCACTTAAAAACTCTTTTCGAGGAACTATCCGGTAAGAAGTATTCTTGTCTTCGCATTTGCCTCAGCACCTGCAATAAGCTTGGAATTTTTAGGAACAATTGTAATTCCCCCTCCCGCCTATTTCTCTTTTCTTTGTATTTTGATTTGCCCCAGGTAGGGTCCTAAGAAAATACTGTACAGTTAGGACAAAAGGAAAATATTAATGAGGTCAGGCTTAAGAATAAAGCAAAAAGAACTGAGCTCACTGATTGATTAGCAGTGTGGGATGATTCATATCAAAGTGAAAAGCATTTTAGGAAGTACCTATCTTTCTTGAATTTAATATAGATTAAACCCACGGATCGTAGGACCTTACAGAGATTAGTGGATAAATGGTAGGTTTGGTTTTTTTTCCATGTAGATCCTTTGAGAAGGGACAGACAGTTCTTGTGAGCCAGGTTAATTTAACTTGTGAGGCCTTTTCTACCCTCAGGATTCTGTGTGGTTCTATGTCGCTACTGTTCAAACTCTCCTAAGGCAGCAAAGTTCCTTATCCTGCCTTGCCAAATCTGATCAGCTTTTCTCTAGTCAGAGGTCTTGATAACCGCTGCTCTGTGTGATCCAAGAGTATGAAATGTGGTTTTCTCCTCTCTGCGAGGCCTGGGGATGCTTCTCCACCTTGCTCCTCCGAGTGGCAGCTGGTTCCTAAGTATGACTTGATCTCTGCTCTTGTGGCTTTTTACCTGCTAGGCATCTGCACGATAATTCTTTCTCACAGATAACTAATCTTTCTGGTTTTTGTTTGTTTGTTTTTTAGCAAGGAAGATGTTCGAGCTACTGAAAAAGACAAGGTTGGTGGTTGGTTCTTTTTTCTCTTTTTTAGCTTTAGCAGTCCTTTTAAATTATTCCTTTTAATTAATCCTTTTAAATTAATGAGTTTTAAAGATCTGTGGGAATGTGAAGTCCAAAGAATTTGAAAATGTTCCCTACTGGAATTATAGTGCTGTTTCCTCCAACTCACTCTGGACCTGTTTGGAACCACCTTTTGCCCAAGTCAGAGTCCTGGTCATGTTACTGGATTCATAATCTTTCATTTATGTGACGATGCTGTAGAAGCAATAAAAGTTGTTGGTTGACTTGAGTAATGATGACTTCTACCCTCTGGGATTAGAAAGTAGACTGATTCTACCAGAGAGGTTAATAATTTCTTGTCATCCTAATCTAGAGCTTTCTTTTAATACTCCTGGTCTGTCTTTACAGGTTGAAATTTATAAGAGTTTTCGCCCAGGTGACATTGTCTTGGCCAAAGTGGTATCCTTTATTCCCAGTGAACTTGTGATCCTTTGTCAAAAGAAGAAATAGAAGTGGAGAAACAACTCAAGTGACTGTGGGAGGGAAGACTTATAACCCTTCATTTTCCTTCACCAATGTTACGTGACTAGATCTCCCTCGGTGATGCGCAGTCCAACTACCTCCTGACCACGGCCGAAAATGAGCTGGGGGTGGTGGTGGCTCACAGTGAATCAGGTGAGTTGGTGCCATGCTTCCTGTGCTTACCTTTTTCTGGATACTATGGTCTGGAATTAATCCATTATTTTCCTTCGTTTCCATTGTTCTATAATTATTTAGGAAACAATGTGAATATAGATATGTACTGCTGAGATTAGAATGGTTCTCATATAAATCTAAGGAAAAGGGAATAACTTCTTATCTCTCCATGAGTCAGTAGGATAAACTGAAGTGAGGTTTTTTCTGTTTGAGCGGAGGTTTACTAGGTACCTTGGTGACAGTGCACACCCAGCTGAAAAGAGAAGGATCTCAGGCAGATATTTGGGGTGCCAGTTCTAATACCAGCTTTCCCTTTTAGGTGTGCAGATGGTTCCCATCAGCTGGTGTGAGATGCAGTGCCCTAAGACCCACACTAAAGAATTCCGGAAGGTGGCCCGAGTACAGCCCGAATTCTTGCAAACCTAAGAAGCCACATTTTACCCCAAGGATGGGGGTAAGCTGTTTCAAAGAGTACATGTATGAAAGTAACAGTAAGATGCCATTGTCTGTATTGATACACCTGGGGTCAGCCAGCAACCAGCTCAGGAAGTCTGCCAGAAACTAACTCTGTAGGTGGAACATTTTTCTTGTGAACCTTTCAGTGGATTTCATTCTCTTGAGTGATAAATTTCTCTTTTGGGGGCTCCATAAACAAGCTGTATACTGTTGGAAATAGCCTGTTTCTTCTGACAGTCTTATAAATATGTATTTTTCTGTGACAAAGAAAACATTTGTATTAAAAGGATTTTATGGCTTCTGTCGTCTTGAGTAGGGAAAGGAATCTAAATGGTGTCATGACACTCGGAGCAGGGGTTTGCCTGGTGGCCTCCATTAACTGACATGTGTCAGGTGCACGCTCGCTCTGGACAAAGCGTAATCTCATTGTTTTTATATTATGTTCTCTTTTAAGTATTTCTGCTCATTGAGTACTTACTGTTCCAGGCACTTTATATACATTCCCTCATTTAGAGAGATTATGTTTTAGTGAAAATTACAGGACTTGTGGTGATTCTGGTAGCCTATGAGTAGTCCTGAAAGTTACTTGGTAATCGTAATGTTCCTGGTAGAGTTAGTACTCCAGGAAAGGGGCGTGGCACAGAGGCGAGGAGGTCAGGAAAGGATTTGTGACAAGAGGGAAAAGGAATTAAAGAACTTAGAAAAATGGAGTGAAGATATTCAAGGCCAAGAGAAGCCCTAGCAGAATGCAGAAATAGAAATGAAAACATAACGTTTGTGGGTGAGGAAAGCCTGAGGGTGAAGCATGGAGTGGTTGTGGAGGGAATGGACGGAACAATGAACTGTGAAATGGCACTTCTTGAGGTGTTATTCAAGGATCCTGCATCTTTCATGTGTAGTGACTGGTTGAAGGGTGAGCTTTGGAGTCAAGCCTCTAGGTCTAGCCTTGAGCAGGGTAGGTGGTTTTTTGCTGTTTTTTTAATTAAATTTTTTATTCAGATAATGGTAGGTCCACATGAAGTTCTAAGAGAAAGGACAGAGCCCTGGCCAGAATGGCACAGTTGGTTGGGTGTTGTCCTGCAACTGAAGGATCTTGGGTTCAATTCCCATTCCAGGCACATGCCCAGGTGGCAGGTTTGGTCCCCAGTCAGGGCACGTGCAAGAGGAAGCCAATCAGTGTTTCTCACATCAGTATTTTTCTCCCTCTCTTTCTCCCTCCCTTCCCCTCTCTTTGGAATCAATAAAAAAAGAAAAAAATGAAATAATGCAGAGAGATCCCTTGTACTCTTTCCTCAGTTTCCCACAATGGTAACGTTTTGAAAAATTTTAACAATCAGGATGTTGACATTGATACTTGAGCAAGTTACTTTTATTTCTTTAAGTCTGTTTCCTCACATGAAATAGTATGACCTCATAGAACTGGCTTGAGGAAGAGATGCATAAAAGTGCTCAGTGCATGCCAATCATATTTTTATATATTGTTATTATACATTTTATTGCCTTCTACGAAGAGTCTACCAAATTCAGGCCATATGCTGGACACTTAGATATAATTTATTTAATCAGTACCCCACTGATAAGTATTTTAAAATTTTACAAATTTTTTTTTGTACAGTGCTGCAGAGAAAACATCTGTATCTTTGTGCATGCCTGATTCTTTTACAAAATACACTTCTAAAAGTGGGATGCTAGGTCAGAGAATATGCACATTTTTCCAAAAATATTTATTTAATTTTAGAGAGAGGGAAAGAGGGAGAGAGAGAGGGAAACATCGATGTAAGAGGGAAACATAGATCAGTTGCCCCTCATAAGCACCCTTGACTGGGGACTGAACCAGCAACCCAGACATGTGCCCTGACAGAGAATCAAACCAGTGACCTTTCACTTTGCAGGAAGACACCCAACCAACCAAAGCCACACCAGTCAAGGTGAGAATACACACATGTTCAGTTTTGGTTAGATTCTCCCTATTGCCTTGTAGAAAGATGCTACCCAATGATTCTCTCAACAACAGTATTAGCCATTTTACTTACTGGGTTTGCCTAAAAGTCCATTTAGTTTTTTCCATAAAATCAAAGACATTCCTCATTTTCCCCAGTAACTTCATTGGTTGGATATTTTGAGTATGTTGGCTATTTCCCACTATTGGCTTCTAGTGGGTATAGGCCAGGGGTACTGCTAAACATCTAACGCATAAGACAGCCCCACGGCAAAGAATTATTTGGCCAAAATGTTAATAGTACCAAGAAATTTCACAAACCACTTCTGACACATTCGATCAGTCACAGCACCTTCTCCATACACTGCACAAATCTTTCTGTTGAGTATTAGGTGCATTTTTACTTTCTTGAAATAAAGCATAATGTGCCGGGAATGTTGTGTATTTTCTTCCATCCTCGATATTAAAATGGCTCCACAAAAATTCACCAATTTTGATGTTTTTTTTTAATGCATGCTGATATGACAGCTGTCACAATACAGTCTAACAAAATTGTTTCAAATGAAGTTAAGGACAACTAAGCATTACTAGAACCATTGTATGGAAGAAACTAAATGAACTTTTTGGCCAACCCAGTATCTTGGAACTTTGCAGTGACCCTGGAAAGTAGCAATCATTTCCATTTCACAGAGATATAAACGAAGGCTTAGAAAAATTAACTTGCCCCAAGTCGCAGAGACAGCAAGCAGTAGGACAGTATTCAAACCCAGGTCTGTCTTAACCGTAAATTCCAGGTTTTCTCCTTTACAGTGGTGCCTCCTTTTCCAAATATTGAGCAGAACCTCAGGCATGCAGTTAGAGGCTTTCCAAATTGACATTGTTTCATTATTTGAGTGCTTGTACTCATTTTATTCATTTAATACATGTTGACCAACTATTCTGCCCACCACTGCACTGTTCAGGAACTAGGAGGTAAAGCAGTGAACATGATTGAATCCCTTCCTTTTTGGTCTTACATTCCAGTGGGGGAAGACAGACAATAAGTAGACAAATAAAGAAATGTTACAGGATTTTTTTATAAACTGTCTCACAGAAGAGCATTTGAAATAATTGGATAATAGCCTTCTCTGATCTAGTGCAGACTAGGTTATATGTTCTCATCCTTAACCATCCAATAGTATATCCCATATTAGCTATGTCCCTGTCTCCCCTACCAGCCTGAGCTTCTACGGCAGCGTCCTCTTGCCTCTCTCTGAATCTCCATTTCCTGGTGCTGTGACTAACACACAGCAAATACTGAGTAAAAACTGTTGACATGTACTCAGAGCTGAGTGAGCTGTGCCTAAACAGTGATGTTTAGTGATGGTGGTATTTGCTAATCTAAAATTGGTTCTAGAAACGAGGATGCTGTGCCTTGGAAAAGTGGGTTTTAGCCTGGTTTAGGTGAACATCAAAACTGCCTATGCCGTTTTTAAAGGCGGGGGATGGGGGTGCAGCAGGTGCCCTAGCTCTGCTTTCACATTTCACAGGGTGAACCCAGAGCAGGTGGTTCGGGGTTTTTTGTTTTTCAGCTCCACGGGTGATTCTGATGTGCTCAGCAGCACTGTCTTAGAAGGATTGTAATTGTTGTCATCCTAGTAGTAATAGTAAATGATGCTGGCTTTTTGTATTCACCCAAGGCAGTTCTTGTGAGAACCTCTTTTAAGCTGCAAGGAATGGATACTGCTATAGGCTCAAGAGATGTCAGAACATAGAGTAACATTAACCCAAGGTGACCATGTCTGACTTGGGTGAAGAGCACTTGATCAAGCAAAATTGCCAACTTGGTCTAAGATTCAATACAGGCTAAGTAAACTAACATCCCACCAAGCTACTGGAACTTAGATTGCCCAAGGTCTTCCTAGGGTTACTGTGTAGATCAAATAAATAACCAAGAAGGCAAGGTGCTCAAAAGTATTTAAATTTTAGAATAAGGACCTTGATTTAGTTGAACTAACAACTTTCACCTGGGTTTCAGTATTTAGTAGCATACCTTCTGGCAAGTTTCTTCAGTGTAGCTTTACGCCGGTTTTCTGTACACTGGGGATACCAGACCTTTCAGAGGCTGTCAGTATTACAGATTTTGTATGTAATGTGCCTCGCCCAGTGGCTGGTACAGGGGAACCTCATTCCGGTTTAGCAGATGTTACTTATTCCTAGTAGAAGAAAAAGTCCTTATGGACTGTCTTACATTCCAGCAACCTTTTCAAGGGCCTGAGAAAGTCAATGTGAGTGATGCCCCTCCCCAGTTGTGTATATAATGTAACTGTTCTCCTGTATCACGTCATTTTATGAGGTTATGTGTAATTTTTGAGGATGTTAATTGAGTGACAGGGTTAAAACTTCCAGGGCCACCCTGGCTGGTATGGCTCAGTGAATTGAGCACTGGCCCAAAGGTCAATTCCAGTCAGGGCACATGCCTGGGTTGTTGGCCAGGTCCTCAGTTGGGGGCATGCAAGGCAACCAATCGATGTTTCTCTCACACATCTGCTTCTCTCCCTTCCTCTGAAAATAAATAAAATCTTAAAACAAAAACTTCCTGGGGCCAAAAAGAAAAGTGCAAATCAAGTCTGCAAGTTACTAATAGACAAGGATTGGCTTTTTAAAAAATGTTCAAGCCTTTACCTTACTCTAAAGAGGGTGCCATAGTTTCAGAATTTGACTTTCCAGTCAAGGAGTATCTGGTAACCACCACCACTGAGCGAGAGCTATAGAGGCACAGGAATGGAGAGCTCAGCCAGGAAGACCTGCCCACCCCCACCCTCAGCTCTCCAGCCTGAGGTGGAAAACCTAAGATACACAGTTTTGGACCAGGCTGTGTAAAGTTGTGACTGGTTGGCCTGAGCACTTAATCTGTCATATAAAGACTCGGGTAATGAGACATTTCTAGTTGAATGTTTAAGCTGATTTCCTCAGACAAGACATATTACACATCACACAGAAAATATTGCACATGACTCCTTTATTATACTGGTCTGGAAAAAAGATTTAGTAGTTATGCTCAAAATGTGTGCTAGGACCAAGTGGCAGGGTCAAGCAACTGGAACACGATTCAGAAATCAGACACAGTGAAAGACACACCTGGACATTCTCAAGACACATTTCACTGCCGTGACACCATAAGACAGGGGAGGGGCTCTAACTCACAGCAGGACGAACTCCTACCCCTCATAAGTCAAGGAGCTCATCCTACCCTGATGTGAGGAATGGCGTATTTTGTGAGGATCACATGTGGGACTATTTCAACCGCCACTAGAAACCCCGGAAGGGTTTTTGTTTTGTATTATTCTATATATATCGATAGATATCTATCGATATCTATCGATAGATATCTATATATACACTTTTTTTTTGTAAAAGTAAATGCAACACATGAACATTCAGGATTGATCCCAATATCTGGAGCCAGCTTCTCTGGGGCCAGGGAGAAAACGTTTGTTTGAATCACCACGTGTCCATTCATCTTCCTCTGGAATGACTAGAGCCCCCAGTCAGTCACCGGGCTAAAGACTAGTAAGAACTACTCCTGGGAACAGACAGGCTCTCTTGCCTCCTCATTGGTCACGCTTCAGCATGGTTCCTCCCTATCCCACTACTCAAGCAGGTCCTTAGTAATAAAAAATATTTAAAAAAACCCAAAAAACTAGCAAAAAACCAGAGTTACTACTTCTGGACTCTTGGAAAAAAGTCTTCTCTCGGCTTGGACTGAAGACCCAAGCCCCAGAGGTGCCATTCTGACTAGGTTGCATGGAGGGAGTGTGTGCAAGAGACAAAATGGCTGGAATGAAATTAGGAGCCACTGGTCCCCATCTGTAGCTACAACTTAAGGTGCCTACAGATGTGGTCAGTGTGACATGTGCACAGGAGAGATGCAGAGGAATGGAACAGGCAGGGAGGGTGTCCTTGGGAAAGTAGCCTGCCTGCTCGCCTTCATTTCTTGGCCTTGCCCTGGGCAGCCACAGCCTCCATGGCTTTACGGACGGTCTCTTCATCCCCTAGGAACTGCATGGGCTTGATGGGCTTCAAGTTCTTGTCCAATTCATAGACAATGGGAATACCGGTCGGCAGATTCAGCTCCATGATAGCCTCTTCAGAGAGACCTAAAAAGCCCCACCATGATTAGCCAAGCAAAACAGGACTCTGCACCACCCCTTAGGTTTACTATTTATCCTCCAGGCGACCAAGGGCCTTGGGAGGAATTAAATCAAGATGCCCTTTCTGATATTTGAAATAATCTGTATTATATAGATGGGTCACCCAAGGAATGCTCCCAATACTTATTTCTCAGCCATTGAAATGCAGGAAAAAGTATGAAAGGTATATACCACAGATCTCTCTCCCGAAGTGGGATCCAAAAGCCCACGGTGGAGCAGGACTTAAATACATCTCGAATATACTATGTTGTCCATCCAGCCTGCCAAAAATCAGCATATCTGGCCTCTAGACCGTCAGGTGAAACAAATTAAGATGCAAGTTGGAACCCTGGCCAGGTGGCTTAGTAGTTTGGAGCGTCGCTCTGCACACCAAAAGGCTGCAGGTCCAATCCCCAGTCAGGGCATGTACAGGAGGCAACGAATCAATGTTTCTCTCACATCAACACTTGTGTGTGTTTCTCTCCCCCCGTCGTCCCTCCCCCCTGCCCCCCTTTCTCGTTCTCTAATATCAGTAAACATATTCTCTGGTGAGGATTTTTTTTAAAAAGATACAAGTAGAGATTTGTGTGTGAAATTGTGCCACACTGTGATTAAGGTATGATTAAAGAGAATTTTATCAGCAGTTTCAACTGGCAATCCTAGTCTGGAGGTGGGCATCTCAAACTTGACTGTGTTTCTGAATCACCTGGGTCATAGATGCAAGTCTGAAGTGGGACCCGAGGTTCTGCATGTAAAACAAGGACACGGGATCCAGCCACCTCTGCTTCTCCAAAAGACACTTTGAGAAACAAGGGTATTGGGTGTGTTTCCTCTAGGAATCAATCCAAACTATTTCTCAAGGCTAACAATATGTCCAGCCCTTTCCAGCAGGTTCCCTTCATACTAAGTAATTAAATGCCTGATTAGTGGCAGTTCTGCTTTATCCCTCCTTGAGGACCCCTCTGAAAAATGTACATACCCTCCAGATGCTTGACAATGCCCCGAAGGCTGTTGCCATGGGCTGCAATCAGCACCCGTTTTCCCTCTTTGATCTGGGGAACTATTTCTTCATTCCAAAAGGGCAGAGCTCTGGCAATAGTGTCCTTCAGACTCTCACAGGAGGGCAGCTGATCTTCAGTGAGGTCTGCGTACCTGCGATCCTAAACAACCAAAAAAATCCAATCCACGCTCATCAGTTAGTGGCAGTTGCATCTGTAAATGCCCATTCCTCACCTCCTAAGGGGTCAAAGTGATAGGTAAAGGTCTCCTCCCTGGGCACAGAATGAAGCTGAGAGCTTGGGAAAGACAATTATTATCCTGCCCCCGTCCCCCCCATCACCCACTACTAGGAAAACTAACTTCACAAGAAACATAACTTAGAAAACGAGAAAAAGGCTCTCCCCAACTCATTTTATCCTATAGCTTAGGAAAGCCCTACACTATGGGTGGGTTTTACAAAATATGGCTGTAGAGATGTAAAAATATGTATATATAAATGTTTTTACATAAACAACATAAATGATCAATTAAATCTTTTAACAAATGATGGCCATTCCTTGGAGAATGGGGATTACAATGAACTATTTTAACATAAATTATAAGATCAATGGGACTAGGCTGCACTAAGAAAAGCTAAAGAATGAGGCCCAGATTCTCAGTCCCTGGTCCTAGGTTGACTGAGCCAAACCTCACTTCGGTACATACTTGTACATACCTTACTGATGTTGCTGTAGAAGGGATGGTCAGGCTCCATCGGTGGTGGTGGGACATCATAGGAGCGCCTCCAGATCTTTACCTGGGCCTCGCCATGCTTGGCAGCAGTTTCTGCTTTATTAAGGCCAGTCAGACCCCCATAGTGCCGCTCATTGAGACGCCAGGTCCTCACTACAGGCAGCCACATTTGGTCAATGGCCTCCAGCACTGTCCAGAGAGTCCGAATTGCTCTCTTCTGCACTGAGGTGAAGCAGATGTCAAACTCATAGCCGGCGTCTGGAAATTATAAGTTCGAAGTGGTAAGCTAATCAGGTCAACTCTGGAGTCAGAATTTTCTTATGTACAATCTCCAACAGGTAGTCCAAATGAAAAGTATTGGCCTAAGTATTTAATTTTGTACACTCCAAAAGGAAAAACAATAACTGCCTTCAGGGAAGACAAAATTCGTCAGCTTTCATCACAGTTGACGACATACCTCCCAATAACGCATTTAACCCCCGGCCTAAACGTACTATCAACCAACTAACCTGCCATCTGTGCTGCTTATAATAATTCCCAGAATGTTGTGCTTTAATTAAACACATTTTAAGAATTTATTTTGGGTCCTGGCTGGTGTGGCTCACTGGATTGAGTGCCAACCTGTGAACCAAAGGGTCACCAGTGGGATTCCCAGTCAGGGCACATGCCTGGGTTGCCAACCAGGTCCCCAGTAGGGGGCGCGCTAGAGGCAACCACACATTGATGTTTCCCTCTCTCCCTCCTCTCCCCCTCTCTAAAAATAAAATCATCTTTTTTAAATTTTTTTAAAGAAATCTTTAAAAAAATTATTTATTTTGGCTTCGGTTCTTTCAAGAAAAGAATCCTAAAAACTTGGTCTCTCAATAAATAATATTTATAGAGGGCTTACCATCTGTCAGGCACTGGACTAAGTACTTGTATTTTACTTAGTCTTCAAACAATCCTATGAGGTTACAATCCTTAAAACCCATTTTACCAGATAAGAAAAATAAAGACTAGAGAAGTTAAGCAAATTATGAAACGTCACAGCTATTACCTGAGAGAGATTAAAACTCAGGCGGTGTGACTCCAAAATCCAACTCATAACCACCATTTCTAGCTACCTCCATTATTTTTCTAAACCCTAAGGATCCTGATGTTTATATTTTAGTTACAACTGTCACTTCTGATTGATAATTACTAATATATTTCAGTCCTCTGTAACCTCTGGTCTAGGGTAAATGTGATCCTGAACTCCCAGCAATTAGAACACAGCAAGAGCTCCTAGAGGATGCTAACAAAACTTTCAGTTTGTTGCATGAAATTACATTTTTACTATCGAATGGAAATCACATCACTCTCTCTTCATCTACAGCTCCTCGGTGATAGTCACCATGTCAGCCCATTTCTGAGTATCCTGAGAGGAATATACATACCTAGGTCCATAAACCAAGTTCAAAAGAAGCCACTCACTGGAGAGGGAAAGCAAATGCTGTGCACTGTCTGATTCGCTTATCAACAAATCTCTCCTCCACACAGTAGGTATTAAGGAGTGGTAGTCAAGAGTTATGTTGGCCCAAGTAGGTTGCAACAATTAATCTTACTTCATGTTTCATGAAAAATTATTTTCCCTCCCACTTTAAGGAAGAATATGGCCCTTCCGTATGTATTAGGCTAAGAAAACAGTCCTGTTTTCCTCCAAGAGGCTACAAGGCCCTCTTTGAGATTTAGCACACTTTCTTGGATATTGCCTCTTACTGAAATTGCCAGTAGCCATTAATGAAACGTGAAGTGAATTTTCCTGCCAGTCATTCAACTGAGAATGAGGTCAGTAAGAACTACCCTGATGGGGGAAGAAAGGGTTCATCACTAGGAAACCACCACCACCCACAAGGGAAGAGGACACAGCTCATCGCTGAGCCTCAGGACAAGTCCTAGTATGCTTGGCTAACGTCTCCTCCCTAACCTTAAAGGAAGGAAAGGCACCCCGATAAAAGGCTGAGTCACTAGGAAGCAGCTACCCATAGTGCAAGCCTCAGCTCCCATGCTGAACAAAACGACTGGTTATTTCACTGTAATTATTTCTACTTGCAATGGAATACAAATACGAGATAAACAAATAGGTCCCCAAGGAGAAAGGCACTCCCTTTTAGGACTCTTTAACAGAGAAGCCTCTTCCTTTAAATTGCCCATCACACAAAGCACAGTCTAGGACACTTCCAGGGATGGATTTGCTGGTGTGGTGTGGTACGGACCTTACCCTCCCCCAGGAGCAAGGTTGCATGGGAAAACTCAGTTCTCACTAGCTTCCTCCTGAAATCAGGCTTGAGAGTCTATAAACCCTACTATCACTTAAAGCCCTAGTGAATTTAATGTTTTTATTTTAGGTCTTTTATATTATTAGATTGTTCATAAAGGTCTTCATCATTCAGAGTTGTTGCTTTTAGTCTTTCATTTTTTAATGTAATCATCCGTGATGCCCATAGTAGGTATCAAAATTTTAAATGGGACTTTTTAAAACTAATGCTACCTAAAAAATAAAAAACTAACACTACCAGCATTTACTTAAAAACCGGTTTGGTTGTTTTTTTACCAGTTTTTACTTAAAAACTGAAAGAGGGTCTGTTATTTTAACATTACAAATTTAACCTTTTGATCAGTCTTAGAGCACAACTACAATTTCTTTGCCATCAGCAAACCACTACAGACCCATTCAGCTCTTCCCACTGGGCAGCAGGAGAGAAAATGGCCTCCTTTACCAGCACTTCCCTTTCCCCTTCCCTCCTAAACAGTATGAAGTCACAACAGCCATCCCAAAGCATTCACACACCTGCAGCAAGCTTACATTTCCCAGACTTTCCAAAGGTTTGCTTTACTTCAAAAAGATCTTCAGTGAAGGAAAGAAGCTAAAGAGAGCAGCCTGAGGCCAAATACCTGTTCCACATCAACTAGGCATCAGTGACCCTTTTAAATAACTGTTTCTTTGTCCAGAGGTTAGACCGGGCCAAAGCGCCTCCTCAGTTCAAAGATTCTTCCTCAGTTCAAAGATTCTTCGATTTGCTGGCAGCAGGGAATGCTCCCTTATTAGCATTTCAAAATCACAGACCTGTCTGCCACGGGCAACCCTGCCTAGGCAAGCTTATCTCACTGCCACTTCCACCTCTGCCCAGTGTCCTTGGCCAACAGCCTACCAGTCCTCACAGCTACCCGGTTACTCAACCTCAGAACTGAGGGGAAAGCACTGGACTGGGAATAAGAAGATATGACCTTGGACAAGTCATCTTTCCAATCCTCACTATCCCAACTATAAAAGGGCCAGGAAGGAATGGAAAGGAGGGGCATAAAATCTATACGGGGCTGTGGAGAGGATCAACTCATTCATTCATTCATTCATTCATTCATTCATTCCATTTGCGGATATATTTTGGGCACAGGATTTGTGGAATAGTGCTGAGCAGCAAAGGCCTACACAAGAACGTGGATTTCTTGTATCTTGACGCCTGCCGGATGCCCCCCAGCTCCGCGTCACTCCCTCCACAGTAGGAGATAAACGTGTGGCCTGTGGCTTCACAGGACCCGCAGCTGCCTTTTAAGAAGGCTTGGTTACAGATGATGGAAGACACCGGGCATCCAGTTTAACCACCTGCCCCCGAGGTACTAAAGGAGAATTTCGCAAGGCAGTGTCGTGGAGAGCGCAACCCGTTAAGGGGCGTTCGCCCTACATCCACTTCCTGGCATGCCGCCTCTCACACTCTACTGGGTGACCTTGAGCAAGTCGACCCCACCCCCCGCCCCAGGCCCATTTTCTCAATTGCAAAATAAACTGCTGGAGAAATGAAGACAAAGTCTAGGCCCTCCAGAAGGGTTCGGGAACAAGACAGGAGGCCCTGATCGAGGGGTACCTGCTCGGGCCTTCGCACCCCCCACCCACTGCCCGGCCCGCTCCGCACCTCGCAGCGCCTGCCCGCCACGTTTTGCCTCTTCGTGCCCCGCTGGACTCAGGTCGGCGTCATACCAGCCGCTGAAGCGGTTCTCCAGGTTCCACGCGCTCTCGCCGTGCCGGATCAGCACCAGTTTGTAGGCGGCCATGGCGGCGGTCTCGAGTGCGATGCAGACGGGCTCGCCGAGATTCCGGAGTGGCAGCCCGGCCCCGGCCCCCGGCCGCGCCTGCGCGCTCGCACCCTACCCCCTGGCTCTGGCACACTTGCTTGCCCTAAATCTTTCCACTCGCTGGGAACCACGGTCGCCCGCCTGGTGTGCGCATGCGCCCTGTGCCGGCGCTGCGGCCGCCTCCGGGAGGGGTTGAACTGTGGTATGCCAGGGCGCATGCGGCCTCTGTCGTCGGCTGGCCCCTAGTCCGCCGCCGTGGTCACGGAGCGCACGTAAGCGCCCTGGGCGGCGGGACCCTCGGGCGGTGGCGGCCGGAGTGTTAGAAAGCCCACCCTGCTCCTAGTTAGCTATCAATTGTACGCCTTTCGTTGTAATAGCTTTTATCATTTCAGTCGCTCCTAGCCCAGCCACACAGCATTTGATTCATACACGAAACTTCACGACTTAAATCTGTTTGCACTCTGTCTTTGGGCAGTTCGTGTAACCTCGCCCAGCCTCATCTGTAAATGGACATCATAAAAACTTACCTGGAAGGTGTTTGTAAATAGTATTAATGTCATTTCAGTGGGTACTGATCTATTTTATAAATAAGGAAACTGGCTGTGACTGCTAGTTCCAAAGCTGTGCTCTTTAACATAGAGGTTTATCCCACATCTAGTCTCTTAGCCTTTAGACCTCCTGGGTCTCCAACAGAGAAGCAAGTCCTGGAACCCTTCAAATATTCCTGACAGAGGAGAACCTCCTCCTATTCCTCCGCCCAATCAGCAGTTTAAATACGTGCTTATGCGGGCCGCCTGCTGCCCGTGCCACAATGAAATTGTGCTGTGTGCTATATTTTGACAGAGATTCTAGAAAAGTTTTAACACACTCATGAATCAACTACTATATGCCAGGGGGTTATAAGTGTTTTTGCAAAGGTTAACTCATTTACTCCTCATATCCTCATAATGGTCCTGTGAGTCAGGTTTTCCAATTACTGATGAGGAAACTGAGAGATGAGGTCACTTGTCCAAGGTTACAGGAACCAGGATTCAAGCCTAGACTGGCTGGCTCCCAAATCCATGCATGCTCTTACTTGCTACTCTCTATGGCCTCCACATTTTAATCATTTTTTTACTTTGAAGAATGGGAAGGATTTGAGAGGCAGAGAAAAAGCGCCTTGGGAACAACGTGAACCAAAACACGTAAGACTGGCTTGTAGATAAATCATCATAATTGCTACTGTTTCTTTACTGTGTCAAGTTAATGTATTATCTCAACCCTTTAGAAATTCATATAATGTAGGGCCTGTTACAGCTCCATTCCACAGATGAGAAAACTGAGACCCAGAGTAATAATTTGTCCAAAGTCACAGCTCAGAAGCGGATGAGAAACCAGGACTCTTAACCACGGTGTTCCACTGCCTCTGGCAAAAGATGGTATCCTGTGACTGGAGAGGTGACCGGGATAAATCTAGTACTAATAGCTGTACCTGGAGCTCACCAAAATTCCAGGGCTGCAACGCAAGAACTGTGCTGGAAGGATTCCGTGTTCAGACTCGAGGTGTGGCCCAAATGGGAGTCCATGCAAGACTTCCTCTTAGAAGTTCTCCCTCTGGACATTCTTGCTGCTTGGTCATCCCAACCCAGATGCCCAGGGCCTCTCAGGGAAAGCTTAACATTGGCTTTTCAGGCTGCACTTTCTGTCCCCTGCCTTGCCCCTAATCCACGCTCCCAGTCTAACTCCTGCCATGTTCCTTTCTCCTCTCCGTAGTCTCTGCTTCTATTCAAGATTTCTGTGCTTTTGTCTAGCTGGGTCTCACATTTCTGCAATGAATAGAAAGTGTGATAAGGGAGAGATCTGAGTTCAAATATATCTTGTTTCTTGTTAACTGTGGGACCTAAGATGGGTCACTCAAGTTCTCATCCTCAGTTTCACCCTCTGTAAACTGGGACAACAATCGTGTTTATATCCACCTAAAGCATGGTTGGGATAAATAAATGAGATGATGTGTGTGGGAAGCACTTAGCGCTGTGCCTAGCAAATAGTCATAAATAACAATAAATATATTATTAACATATTAATAAGAAATATTAGCAGTGTGATCAAGAAGGCGAAAAAGATTTAATGAAGGGCACCACTTCAAAGGGTGTGAGCCCTTGTTGGTGTGGCTCAGTGGGTTGAGTGCTGGCCTGCAAACTGAAAAGTTGCTGGTTCGATTCCCAGTCAGGGCACGTGCCTGGATTGCTGGCTGGGTCCCCAGTTGGGGCATGCGAGAAGCAACAAATCAATATATCTCTTGCACATTGATTTTTCTCTCCCTCTCATTCACCCTCCTTTCCCCTCTAAAAATAAAGTCTAAAAAAGTTGATTAATTTTTTTTAAATGGTGTGAATCTGGAGGTCCATGGACAGACTTCCATTCCAACAGGTTGAAAGGGGGTGGCTTGCCCAAGGGGATTGCAACTGGGATAATAAGGGTGCGTTGGGCAGAAGGCCAAGGGCATCTGTGCAACCAGCCTGGAAGGAGTTTGGGAATCCTGTTTTATTTTTTTCACCAACCCTCTCTGCCTCTTAAAGGAGTTTCTCATCTCTTTGGAATTCGGAGAAACTCTGATAATTTTACGAGCCTCACAGGATATCTAACTCAGTCATTAGAGTTTTGTGGGGTTTTTAAAAAATGTATGCATCAGATCTTCTCAACTAGAAACTCCTTGAGGATGGGCACATGCACTTAGCGTGATGCCTTTCTCTTAGTAGACTCTGTCAGTATCCCTGACTGTCTGAACCAGAAGAGACCTTGGAAATCCTAAACTGCAAGCCCCTACCTCCTGGTGTCCCCAGGTCTCACGCAACAGATGAGGAAAGTGATGTGAACCACTCAAAAGGTAAGGAGATAAGCAGAGGACCACGCTCATCAGTGAGAAGTCAGAGATGATCCACAGAACAGGGTCCCCAAGTTGAGGTTTGCTGTGTCAGGAAGAGAGAGGCAGGAGCCCAGAGAGATAGGAAGAGTGAGGGGGATGAGAAGGACCATTGTGAGGACTGCCAAGGCTTTGCAGCTGGAAGCCAGGATTTGTGGGCTTCCATTCAGCATCTATCACAGCATCTCAAACATGGGAAGAAGCTTAGAGCCTATAAAGCCAAGGTGATTTCTCAAATGTCAGTAAGGGTACCGACAAACCTGTGTGTTTTGCCTGCCACTAGATTTTTAAAAAATTTTAATTGTTATCTCTACTGAGAAGATACACATCCAGTTGTCAGGGCTGATTCACATATTCTGAGAACAAAACAGGTGCCAGGGGCTCTGATCACAGAGTAGCCTGAGACTCCTAACCAGGTCATTGTCCTTCCTCTCTGCCCTTCAGGGAGCAACTGTGGCCAGCAAGTCCCCTTGCTGCATGGAGTGTGGGCTTGGGCATCTGTGCTCTCAGTCTTCTTAGTTGCCATCCCTGAGCCAGAGGTATGGCGAGCCTCTTCTCTGCCAGGCCTCTGGCCAGCCTCTAAACCCTAGGGCTTCCCTTCTAGCTCAGGGCTTTCATTCCCCGGGCCTAAGGGAAATTCCCAGGACTCTAACAGCTTTCCAACAGCCGGCTTATTGGTTAACTGGTGACAAAAAACAAAAACAGTAGTCACAGCTCTATTACCCTTCACTGTCCCTTAAAACAATAAAGGCCCCTCTGAGCCTTCCCTTCCCATTTATTTTTACCACAAAAGAGCATCTCCCTTTTCAAGTTCCGAACGTTGAGTGAAAGACCCGATTTAGAACTGTAGTGGGGCAAACCAAGTCTTCCGCCGAGCCGGAAGGAGGGGTGGCTGCCCACACACAGGACTCCCTGTCGAGACACCACATGTCTTTACTTGTTGAACATCTTGTAAACTCACTGCCTGATGTTCAGATCTCCCAGGTGTCTAAAAAAAGAGGATTTCTTCCTTGGAGAGGGAGTGAGCCCAGATGATGGTGGCTTAGGCCTCAGGACTCTGAGCTTCTAGGAGAGAAAGCAGTACTTCAAGGAGGGATAAAATGCTCCAACCCTCTCCAGTCACCATCTGAAGATAAACGCAGATGGAACTGCTACTAATGGAAAAGAAAGAGGAGTATCTGGCTGCAGGCTTGTGGCTTCTTAGGACTCCCCTGGCAACAACCTTCCTCCCCGCCCATCCGCACCCTGCTCTGACCTCAAAACCTAGCTTCAGACCACAGTGTCTGGCCCAGCCATAGTACAAGCCCTTCTCTCTGGATTAAGGAACTCACGCAGTCCCTGAAAAACAAGTATCAGGGGTACTCCAGGCCCTCTGCCTCCAGACCCTGCGTGTGATAACTGTGATGATAAAAATGCCCAACTCTGGGCAACAAGCAAGCCCTTTTGATTCTTCTGCTTTCCTTCACATAAAGCTGTTTTCCTAGTCTACATTTTTTTTGGATTAAATTCTAAGTACAAAACATGTAGATACTTTGTTATTTGGGAATAATTTGTGTTATGCTTGGGGAATGGCTGGGAGATTAGTAGTGTGTTAATCCAGGGTCTCTGAGAAGCAGTTGCCAAGACAGGATTTGCAAAAAGTGTATCTTGGGAAATGCCTGAGACAGGAAGCAGGGAGGGAATGAGACAAGGCTCGCAGAGTAGGTGTGGCACGAGTGAAGGGTGGAGGGAAGGAGGGTTGGGTGGGTGGGAGCCTCTTAGGCTGTAGCAGGGGTGTCCAACATTTTGGTGTCTCTGGGTCACACTGGAAGGAGAAGAGCTGTCTTGGGCCACGCATTAAATGCATTATGACACATAATCACAAAAAAAATCTCATAATGTTTTAAGTAAATCTATGATTTTGTGTTGGGCCACATTCATAGCCCTCCTGGCCCTTGGGCCGCAGGCTGGACACCCCTAAGTGCATTTGTGAGGGAAATTATCAGCCAGGCTGTTGGGGGAATCCTTGAGCCAAAATCACCCCTCAGAGAAGTCCCTGGTCTCCCTTGACCAGGCCAACATTTGTATCCTCGATGCAGGGTTACTGAGTCATGGCTAGACAGCCCATAGGCATTGTGACCTCTGTCTAAATGCCATGAAGGGTTTCAG